GCAGTCTATTAAATGTATCTGAAGAGGAGGGTAATTTTGTTTTGCTTTACATGCAACATGCTTCAGGGATTTTTATTTTGTAGGGATCCTATGGTTATAGAAGTAAAATGAAAGTGATTAATATTTTTTGAAAGATAGAAGCTGATGTTTTGTGCATTATTTTCGTATTTAACCAAAAGGAGAGGAATATCTTTTACCTCCAAATTGAAGTATCCAATGGTGAAAGTTTAAGCAGAGGAGGATTTTTTTTCTCTAAACAAACTGAACTTCCATGACCACAGATGACATAAATCACTGATTGATTGCATTTAGAGAATCCAAAAATAGGCTATCCATGTGGAATAACAATACTGCTGAAGTTTATAAAGCACTTATTCTGTTGGCAGATAAAATGATATGTTGATATAGGGCTAGCAACTGTTTTCTATGTGATGCATGTCACTATTTATCACCACTCCTAGTCCCTGGATGTTTACATACTTACGGTGAAAGTGTTTTAGAAAAAGGATGAGTGGCATTTCTTCTAAAAGCAACCCAAGAGCTTGCTCTTGGGCATATGAAACAGTTTGTACTAGGCTCAGACTTAGTTTAATATTCCTGTAGAAAAATTTTTCAATAAGTTGGCAAAGATGAACATGTTGACTCTTTTTTTTTATTTTTTAAGATTTTATTCATTTATTTGAAAGAGAGAGACACAGCGAGAGAGGGAACACAAGCAGGAGGAGTGGGAGAGGGAGAAGCAGGCTTCCCTCAGAGCAGGGAGCCTGATGCAGGGCTTGATCCCAGGACCCTGGGACCATGACCGGAGCTGAAGGCAGATGCCCAACGACTGAGCCACCCAGGTGCCCCTAGCTCTTGTTTTTAAAAATGTTCAAGATTTCAGCTTCTTGAGCCCATCAAAAAGTATTATGGGCTCAAGTATGAACATACATTGTATTGCCTGTCAGCATCGATGAAGCAAACAGGTGCATTATATTACCAATTGTATTTAAGGGAAAACCAAATAAAGCATTTAAATGATCTATTAACAGTAATATTTGTACTATCTCTACAATTCCAACAACTCAGCATTTTAAAGTTCTTCCCAAACTACATGTTTTACTGAGCTAATATTCCATTTGTACTTTACATAATTTGCAATAAACAAAAGAATAACTGAATGCTTATTATCTGTTCAGGAGTAAAGCCATTAAAACCGGAAACCAGTCAGTAGGATTGCTTAGTATTCTGAACCACTGTGGGAAAAAGTAACACCAGTGACTTATTAGCTATATCTTTTCTTATAAAAACAGGTTTTAGTATTTGGGCCCAAAAAGTAAATAACCAAAATACTTTTTTAATTAAAAGCATTTTTTCATGGTTACTTTAAAATTTTATGTTTTAAATGAGTAAAATTTAGCCATTTTGATTTTAACTTACAAAACCAAAAAGGCTATTTTTCATAGTTCTTTTTTAAACACCAGAGATCATGTGTTCTATTTTTAGTAGATTGAAAGAAGGCGATTTTCTTCTCTGTTACACAAAAATTTTTGAAATTATATTTCTGCTGTCCTCTATACTGCTATGGAGTTTGACATCCAAGACTTTTTTTTTTTTTTTTTGCATTTATGCTGTTTCTTTAGTCATGGACCTGCAAGACCAAATCCAATAATTGATAAATCTGAGAAAAAAATAAGTTAAATTCTAAAAATAAACAGATTTATATGTAAAGTGTGTATGCCAAGATTGACTCTATTTTTTCTTGGCTAACTTTCTCTGCAATCGCCCATCTAGTGGCTCTCACATTCTACTGGCTGTCTAAAGAATCTAGACCTAGAATTTGCCACTTGTGATATACTAGAGATCATCTTATCCAGTACGTTCACCCACTCCATTCCATCCCAAGAGGAGAAGTGACATGCCCTAAATTAACCATAGTAAAACAAAACAAAAAACAAAACAAAAAAACCTGTGACTCTTGACCCCTCAGGCAAGGACTTTTCACTGCAAAGCCCATCTCTCATGACAGCAATATAAGTTTTTGGCTTTGTTTTTATCTTTTCTAGTTTTATTGACAAGTAATTGACATACATCACTGTATAAGTTTAAGATGGTTTGATTTACATATATTATGAAATGATTACCAATAAATAATCAATAAATTTCAATCTACCAGATAGATACAATTAAAACAAAAAATGTTCTCCTTGTGATGAGAACTCTTAGGATGTACTCTCTGGAATTTAAGTTTTAATCTGATTGACAGATTATTTTTGAGTTGCTGGTGCTAAAAAAAAAAAAAGATGAAAAAAGATGTACTTTTATTTTAAAATTGTATAAATTGTGCTAGCTTCGGCCACTGATAGATTTTTCAGTTGGTTCCTTTAACCCTTTGATATATCCCTCATTATGTGTGAGTGTGTGTGTGTGTGAGGGTTTGTGTGTGTGAGTGTGTGTGTGTGAGAGAGTTTGTATGTGTGTGTGTGAGAGAGTTTGTGTGTATGAGTGTGTGTGTGTGTGCATGCATATGTGAACACTTGCTTTCTGGCACTACAAGATGCTTCAGGCTTATCTTGTATCTTTCCTGCCTCAGTCCTAGAATCAGTCATTTCTTCAAGAGTTCTGGTTCTTTCATTGGAGAATGGTATTAGGAATCAAGACCTGGGTGATAGTTGTGTTCATTGCTATTGGGATGTCATTGCTTTTAAGCCCTCTCAGCTGCCAGAGCAGAGAGATGTATTTGTATATAGTAACCCATGTATATACAAATATCCCTAAATATTTCTTTATGTAGCCTTCTGTATATATAGTAAGCTAAACATGAGTTCATACTGATGTCTCCAATTCTAGTACATTATATGTGAATCAGTCTAGCCGTGCTTTCTATTAACTCCCACTTCAACAGTGAAATATTTGGCTCCTGGCATCTGTCATCCATTTACTTCATTGTTTAATTCCAGAATATATGTATAGTAGTTTCAGAATTGTAAACATGTATGTACATAGGGAGCAACTTTATCAATTAGTATACAGTATTTGTGCGCAGTTCCTTTTGGTTTTGGTTTTAGAGACTCCACTCATTTTCAAAGTGACTTAGGTTAGAACCTTACTCCCCCACCGTCTTCAGCTACATTTCATACATTTGTAATGTATCTAGATTCTTTTTTAGTATTTTGCCTTCCATCTTCAGATCCCCCAATCTTCTAATCGATTTTTTTCATTTTTATACAGTAAGTTTTACCCTGTTGTGTGAAGTTCTATAGGTTTTGACAAATGCTAGTGTTTTGTATTTACCATTATAATATAAAATTGTTTCACTTCCCTAAAATATCCCCTCTGATTCACCTATTCAACCCCCTTTTCCCCTCCAAAACTCCTAAAAAGTTGTAATTTTTTGAAACTCTAGATCAGGACTAAACATCTCCAGTGGTAATTGTCACAATCAAGAGGTCGCAAATAGGATGTTACTCTCATACAGGAATAATTTTAAGCAAAGTGGGCATTTAATACTTGGTGATATCATCTTTCTTAGAAATCAGGAGTTGTGGGCCCTTATTTTTATCTTGTCAGCATTTGTCTGAACAAAATACCTCAGGTTGGAGAAAAAGATTATTGAAAGAGGGGGAAGATGATGGGTGAATTTGAGAAGTCAAGAGTAAATTGACAGGTCATGGTGATTTTGTTTGAAAATTTTGAAATATATTTGAAAAGATTTTCTTACATCATGGCTCAATAAATTTCAAATTTAGAGGTGACAAAAGTTATCCATGCCCTTAGGGACTTTCCACATTATCTTTGAAGCAGGAGAATATGAAAGGGCAATTACTATGCAGTAATTATTACGTTGGCACAATAGGCACATAAAGGAATAGAGGAGTAGTTCTGTCTTCCCCGAGGAAGGCTTTCATTGGAGATGACATCTAAGCCTTGGGAGATATGTTAATGTTTGAGACAGATAAATAAATGAAGGCAGGAAGTATAATATGTGAAAACATCTTGGCATATCAGACAGAATAACCAACTTGAGGAGCTACCAGTTAACTGTAGCTGGAGTGGAAGTGTTAGTTGAGGTGGGATGGAGATGGAAGTGGTGGTATATTGGGGTAGACAAGTATGGATCATGAGGGGCCTTGAGTTTAGATTTTATCCTGAGAATTATGAAGCCACTGGAAGATTATGAAAAGGTAATGAGTACATTATATGGCATCTTCAAAAGCCCACTCTGCCAGGAAACTGGTGGGGAGAATTAGGAAGGAACTTGACCCTAGAAAACATCATAGATGGCTATTACTGCAGTCAGGGTGGGAGATGATGAGGGTCTGCTTTAGGGCAATGACAGAAAGCATAGAGCAAGAAGGAAGTATGAGAAATATCTTAACAAAAATAAAGAAGTGAGAAGAGGAAGAAGTCAGTGAAGTAAGTAATACTGAAAGGTAAAGTTGAGAATGTTCTCTAAATCCTACTAATCTTTATTCTCATTAAAAGGAGTTTGAAACTTCAATGGCAAACAGGCACATTTTGTGCAATTTTATACTGAATGTTTCATTGTTATATTTCTAAGAATGCTTGCCAAGATTTCCATAAAAATATTAATTCAGGAAGGAACAGAGTCTAGATATTTCCTCTTATTAAAACATTAAATCTTATTTAAAAGTGAATATAAAAAATGAGTTCAGAGTTTATGGCATGACTGACTTGAAAATGAATTTAAACTTAGAACTCTTCTCTGTTGTGAGGAAATTCTTCTTCTCCTTCTCCTTCTCCTTCTCCGTCTCCGTCTCCTTCTCCTTCTCCTTCTCCTTCTCCTTCTCCTTCTCCTTCTCCTTCTCCTTCTCCTTCTCCTTCTCCTTCTCCTTCTCCTTCTCCTTCTCCTTCTCCTTCTTCTTCTTCTTCTTCTTCTTCTTCTTCTTCTTCTTCTTCTTCTTCTTCACATATAATTTGTAGAGACTAAGTGTTCACCCATGTTGGTATTCATGATATCCATCTAGAGTTTAATCCAGAATGAACTTTTTCTTTGGCAGGATGAATCTTTAAAGCAATTGCAAGTAGTTCATCAGCCATGGATCTTGCCAAGTGACACAGAAAGTGAAGGAGTAGAAGCAGAACAAGATAAATGTGAGTAGACATTGCTATTTACTGATAAATTGCTTTTAGCCAAAGGAAATCCACAATGAGGTATTTTCCTTTCATAACATTAAATGCCTGCAAAAAATTCAGGCTTGTTTAGGGAGACTGTGTAAAGATACGCTCTACTTCAGGTTAAATCTTGATTCAGGGATGTTTTTTCTTTGTGGTGCAGAGGCTGCAAACTGACTTTCCAAAGAAGGGTAGATAACACCTCAAAAGAAGGAATTATTTTTCCTAAAGACCAGCACAGAATGTCCATTTGGAATGTGAATCTTCTATAAATATTGTGGAATTCGATCAGTGATAATTTGTGATTATTAAAAAACTTTAAAGTATGTGAGAATCATCTCATAATTTATTATATGTGAAATTATCATTATTGGTTAAATGAATAAGTGCATGTATATAGAAACTCTTGTAAGCTCACAAAACAAATTAATATTATAGTATTTAAGACAAATAGAATATACAGCTCTTAATTTAAATCTCTATATTATAATCATAACAAAGGATGGATTACTCTACTTTGGCATGACACATGGCATGCTTTCCAGGGGGTTACTGACATTGTCAGATATGTGGGCTCAGCAATCCAGATGACAGGTTGGAGTCTGGACTATATAGAAATACCATCATTAAAAAAAAATAACATATCAAAATTTACTTTTTTAAATCAATGGTAGCCTGCAGAGAGAAATAAAAATTGTAAATGGTAATGTAGCTCTCATAATAATTGGTGTGAAGTGATTAATTAAAAATTCCCCTAAGCCATAGCTACCAGAAATACCTATTATGTTACACAACCAACATTATGATTCCTTACCCAGGGGGATCAAAGAAATTACTCTTCTGGGTTAAAAAAGCATTTAAAAATATTCTTACCCCATTTCCATAGCTGTAGGCTTATGTAGTCAGAGGGAGCATAGCCAGGAGAGGGACGTAAGGCAGAATGCTCAGGTAAGAGGATGCAGAGAGCTGAAGTGTCACTTGGCTGGCACATTCAGAAACAGAATAACATAGTGACATTCTACAGATTGTCTGGAGGGAAACATCACCTTCTTCAGACAACATCTGATAAAGACTCAGAAAGTGGGCTGTACTTTAAGCAAGTACAAAAATAAAGGGAATATTTTGAAGATCTTCAATGTAAGGGATCCTGAGTAAAATGGTCTAGGAAAAGAGCAGCATGGGATACAAAGAAGAGAATCCCCCAAGTAAGAAAGAATTAGTAGTGGCCCAAAACTTTTATGAAAACAAATGCAAACACACTTATACTCCATCCCTACTCTCCACACATTTAAATATACATAAACACTCATTCTACACTTTGGATTTAATCATTTTCACCAAATTCTTTGAGGCCTTCATAAATTTTGTGTTTAAAAAAAAAAACTCTTCAAGGTAATGTGTATGTGTATTGTATAAATACAATATATATAATTTTGCTCTATCAGAATCAACACATAGGTGCCCAGAGTGAGTAAGTCCAGGTAAACAACATTCTTATAGGATGCACAGTGTGTTACTTCTATGTGCTATTACTTATAACGAACTAAAACTTAAAAGCAAGAACATAATCAATCAAAATAGTGTATTTAATCCATGTGCAAATTTAGACTTATTTTTCCCCTTAAATCCAATGCCTCCAATCAGTATTAAGTCTAAAAAATAGCTTAATAATGCAAAGGAGATATATAAGAATCCCCAAAACTTTCTTTAACCCTGTCACCTAATCATATTACCTTTCTGCATATACTTTCACAAGATTTTGATAAGTTGCAATAATTTCCTCTTCCACTAGAATGCAAAGTTTTTGAGAGATCCTTCTCTGTATATATTGACATACACAATAAGACCTCAATAAATATCAAAATAATGAATGAATGAATATATTTCTTTGATTCTTTCTAATTCATTTATCAAGACAGTTGGAAATCTAAACAAATGAAATAAATAATAATTGTGACTGAGTAATTGCCATAAAAATTATTTATAGTTTTTAAAATTTTAATAATGGATTTATAGTTTAGCCATGGCTTCTGCCATATGGTCTATCAATCACTCTAAAAAAGGCCATACTTGAACTCTCCTAACCATAGACCTAGAACCAAAAATATTTTATATCAGCAATGTTGTACTTGGAGGTGACCCTTGACAATGGTTAATTGTTTGAAATAAAATCAGGGTTTAAAAATAATTAGGTAGTAACAAGAGCCATCTGGAAACGGAATGCTAGCTAACACTGTAGCCAAGTTCATAGCACAGAGATGCAAATACTTTTCAAGAACAGCATCCGACATTCAGGTGCTGGGAGAAGTGTAAGATGGAGCACTGTAGCACCAGCATCTCCACTGATACTGTGCTCAGTGCATGTGGTGTGTGGAACAGCCGGCAAGATATGTAGAGATCATCTACCTCTTGATTTTCTCAGTGAAAGAGAATTAATGACATAAATACATGTGAACCCAACATCTGATTTAGAGTCTAGAGGCTCATATATTAGAAATTTATGAGTGAGGAAAAGGACAAGATTTATCATTCCAACAGTAACACCTGTTTCTTGAGTCAGCTTTCTATAAATTATTCCTAGGTAATTTTGTAGAATGTTCTCATTTCTCCTGAGATAAATTATCATGGCAGAAAGTTTCCAAATAATGTGAGGACCTTTGTAGTAGTGCGTGTTTCTTATTGCATCATCTTAAAATAAGACAGCTCAAAGAAGTTTTATAAAAGACACCTTTTAGGAGAAGATGTTTTGAATCATCAAATGGGAATCTTTAAAAACTTTTGTTCTAAATAAGATAAGCAGAACCCTTAATTCAACAGATTTTTTCTTTATTCTGCTTTTGTTTAAAAGTATAAATCACAATTTAAAAAAAAATCATGTTAGGAGTGTGTTTGTTTTTAATCTCTCAGATTGTAGTGTGAAGTCACTAAATAACTCATATCACAGACCTTTGAATCTACTGGGATACTGTTTGATGCTCATATTCCTGGGCTTCATGCAGACCTATTGTATCAGAATCTCTGCATGGGACTCTGAATTCTGCACTTTTAATAAACCCCTCAGGTGAACCTTGATTATTCTAACGATTGGGAACTACTGGAATGAAAAGTCCAATGAATCAGAGGGTTGTGTTTTCAGAATTGACTCCATAGTGTTGTTCAATTTTGGACCTTATTTCTCTAGGTTGCTTTTCCTATCTGTAAGTTAAGTTTGGATGTAAAATATGAGAATGGAGAAAGAAGGCTGAAATTTGAAGGAATAAATATGGAATGAAATTGAGGTACAGGCTCTCTAATCAGTAGGTTCAACATATACATGGACAAAAATAGCTACCATCAAACCAGCCAGCACCCCCTAATTAGATTGTGGAGTTTTAAAACTTGAAAAACCAAGCTAAAACAACAACAACAAAAGAAAAATATGACAAATAGCAGATGCAAAGTGTGATGGCATAAATCAGTCCAAACACTTCGTTAATCCCAAAGAGCTAGTGTATGGAGTCAAAAATAAGGCGAAGTGCTACCTAATTGTCACTGAATTTCTGGGATTTGAGTGAAGATCAAATAGAATGATAGGTGTGAGTGAATATACTTTCTTAATTGTTGTACAAGTATAATTTATTATTAATATAACAAAATTATATTCATGAGCTTTGAGAGTCTTAAGTGATCAAAGTCAAAGTTATTTTCAGTCTATTATTGTTTTTTCTTGTTATTGCCCTCACTACTTTTTGTTTACTGACTTAGTAGTCAGCTAATGCCTGGACAAAGCATTGAGGCATGCCATGGACGCTCCAGAACTTTACAACTTTGCTTATACAGAGCTTCTAGGTCAACAAGAGGTGAGAGATAGAGCCTTACTAGGTTTTTCCTGGGCAGATGCATAGTACCACACATATGGGTGGACTTCTAGATCCTCAGGAATATGTCAGATCTTTTGAAAACTTCTTAAGGACATCTCATCCATGAGGTTTTTTTCTTTTCTTTCTTGTTTTCTTTCTTTCTTGTTTTCTTTCTTTCTTGTTTTTTTCTTTCTTTCTTTTTTTCTTTCTTTTTCTTTCTTTCTTTCTTTCTTTCTTTCTTTCTTTCTTTCTTTCTTTCTTTCTTGTTTTCTTTCTTTCTTTTTCTTTTCTTTCATTTTCTTTTTTCTTCTTTCTTTCTTTCTTTCTTTCTTTCTTTCTTTCTTTCTTTCTTTCTTTCTTTCTTTCTCTTTCTTTCTTTTTCTTTTCTTTTTTGGTAAACGCTTTGTTTGCCTCAATTGGTATCACTGCCTCAGGCACCTGCTAGTAAAACTGTTGCCTCTAACTGTTTTTGACAAATGTCATAGGGATTGAGTTTTTCACTGAGTGAGCTTTAATCCAGGACAAATAAAGAAAAAACATTCAAGTGAGGATTTTGCAGGCAGCTTCTATATAGGTCAAATAGTGACAATTCTCTAGATATGGGACATCTGGGTAACTCCAAACCCATTCTGTCCCGTCTTGTGGATCAGAGGCTGCTCTTTTCATAGCTACCATCATTGTGAGGCTGCTGGTTTCAAGGCTACTGCAGAGTTAGAGAGAAGGTTACTGATATTGGGTAAGTGAAAATCCCACACAGCTCACTGTTCTCATTGAGATTCAGCTGCTTTTCTTTAATAAATGTTCTATGGATTATTGCAAGCCTTTGGTTAATTTCTAGAGTTGTGAAAAGTTGATTTTGGTGATTTTTTTTGCTAATGTTCTCATTGCTTTTTAGAGGAGCAGATTTTTGGAGATTCCTATACTCACATTCCAGAAATGCTTCTCCTCTCCTATTTTTCCTGATTTCATCAGCCTGGTTTTCTCTTTGTTTGAATGGAAGTAAGATATCTTCATAATGGGCTGTAGAATCAGATAATATCCATTTCTTTAAGTCCTAATTTCATGATAAGCTATTAAAAACAATTTTGTAGTAAGATAAGTTTTGGAACTTTATACATATCATTATAGTTGAGGAACTCTCAGTTGTA